GAGATAACCCACTGATTGGGAAAAAATCTTTGCACTGAGGTCAACTGATAAGGGACTGATCACAAAGACATACAAAGAACTCACACGACTCAACAAAAGCAAAAAAAAACAATCCAGTCAAGAAATGGGCAGAACAACTCAAAAGACATTTCTCCAAAAAGGAAATACAAATGGCCAACAGGAATAAGAAAAAATGTTCAACATTCCTTATAATCAGGTAAATGCAAATCAAAACCACATTGAGATACCACCTTACACCAGTAAGAATGGCACATATCAAAAAAACAAGCAACAACAAATATTGGCCAGGATGCTTGTGGGAATGCAAACTGTTCCAACCACTGTGGAAAGCTGTCTGGAGGTTCCTCAGTCTACTAAAAATGGAGCTACCATACGATCCGGCAATTCCACTACTAAGGATCTACCCAAAGGACACAAAAACGGTGAGTCAAAAGAGCACCTGTACACTATGTTTATTGCAGCACTATTTACAATAGGTAAAACCTGGAAACAACCCAAATGCCCAAAAATAGATGACTGGATCAAGAAGATGTGGTATATATACACCACAGAATATTATTCAGCAATCAAAAAGATAAACTTATGCCATTCACAGCAATGTGGATGGAGCTAGAAGGAATTATGCTCAGTGAAATAAGCCAGAAGGAAAAAGAAAAATATCGGATAGTTTCACTTATAACAGGAATATAGGGGAATCAAATAAGACATCAGTGTAAAAAAAAAAATAACAGTACAAAACACAACAAAGCAAAAACAGATAATTATAAACCAGAGACATACTTCAGGGGAGGAGGAGGGAGAGGGATGAGAGGGAGGGAGGGAGGTGCACAGGGGACTGTGGTGATGGTGCATGGGTGTTTTGGGGAAGGAAATTCTGTGGGGACTCAATCTGAGGTGGGGGGAAGAAAATATTGTTTAAAAAAAATTAAAAATGATAAATGTCCAAATAAAAATAAGAAATAAATAAAATAAAATGGTGAATTCATTATAGGTTCTATCGAGCAAAAGAGTAGGCAAAAAAATCTCATTTTTTATCCTATTTCGTGTACTACAACCATCTTGAGACTGTAAAGGAAAAAATCTAAGAACAACAACTATTATCCAAAAATGAAGATGAAGAGAACCTGAGTCCTCAGTATTGTTCTTGAGCCACTGAATTAACCTACCTAACTCTATATCACTAGTGAGGAGGTGTAAGTTTAGCAGGTAACATGTGGTCTATCAACTCCTTTTATTGGGAAGCATCCTTGGGAGGGAAAAAAATAAAAAGGTATGTAACCCAGTTTAATTTCTGTGTCAATAGGATCTTCAGGTAAATAGATTAAAAATATTTACTAGGACGCAGAGACTTTACAGAGTGTCCTTTTTAACACAGGATTACTGGCAAAGGATTACCACATATAAAGAACAAACATCTGAAATCTATAGCTTAATGCGTCATGACAGCCTCGTAACATGTATAGTTCTCTGGAAGAATAACACAAGAGGTATTTAATATGCAAATACTTACCCTGATATGTAAGGTAATAAGTCATTCAACCCAACTTAAAGAGTTCATCTACATTTCTGGATCAGAAAGTTTGTCTAGGGCCTCCCTGGTGGCACAAGGGATTAAGTCTCAGCACTACCAAGCTATAGGCAGCCACTGCAACACCAGTTCAATCCCCAGCCAAGGAGCTACTCACATGGCACAGCAGACCTCTCCTGACTGCCTGCTGCTCCCCTCAGCAGTGTATTTCAATCAATCTGCCTGTTCTGTTCCCCACTCTGTCTCTGGTGAATCCTCTCATCCCCCACACCTCTGGCCTACACCTCATTTCTTGTATGCATAAATAAATAAAATAAATCTTAAAAAAAAAAAAGAACATTTGTCTAATGTTGGTACAGAGTGTAATCTCCATAAAAAAGAGAGGTCTCATATTCCCTGCCCCACCTAATGAAGGATGGAGCTGGGAGAAGATGAAGTCTTAGAGAACAGACTTGGAGAAAGTACATGGAGTACAGAGACATGTGAGGAAGAAGGATACATTTGCTTCTTGGCTTGAGACTTGTACCACGGACTTGAGTGACATAGGAGGCACATGGAGTCAAGTCATGTAGAGACACTTGGAAAAGATATAGATGAGAGACCTGTAGAGAGCCTGACAATGACAGTTTTTACTGTGATATGTAATTTGATTTTGCTCCTTTTGTACCAGACTTGTCTGTCCTCTTCTTCCCCTTCCTTATCATTCTCCACCAGATGGTGCCTTAGACATGGCAAGTTTTCGGGCTTTGGGTCAAGTCTGTTTGGTGGGAATTTACCCACAAGGGGATAGGTTACTTTAGGTGTTTCATTGGGAGACTATTATCTTTTCTTCTCTTTCTATGCACACTAATCCTATTAGAATAAATTCACATCAAGGGTATGCTTTGTCTTTATGTAGCAGACATCAGAACCTACAGAGCAGGTTTGGATGTCCTGGGGTACCTCTCAGTCTGCACACTAATGTGGGTGGTGCTTAGGAGTTTACTTTGATGTCCATAATATCTCAGTGCTTTGTCTGAGTCTTTCAGTTTCTTTACCTTAAGATTATTAGCAAATTTCAAAACAAAGACCCTGATTTATGTGAGCTTAATTTGTCAATCCAAATATTGTATTATTTCACCAAAATTTTTATTTTATGCTATCACACATTTTCTTTAACATAAAAGTAGTTTTGCCTGGGTTTTTCTGTGATTTGCACCCTAAAACTTTATAAAAACAAAAAAGTTATCAAATGAATTGATATCAGAAGTTACATTGATTAGGTATTCTCATTAATTTATAATATGGACTTTCTTAAGACTCTTCCCTGAACACCATTACATTTTAAAGTTACCTTATTTTAAAAAACTGTAGAATTTTTGATAATTTTTGATAATAATGAAATTAATAGCTATGTTGATCACAAAGACAGTGAAAACTCCATTAAAAATTGAAAGAAAATACCAATTTGGGGGAAGATAATTCATTGGACAATAGGTAAAAGATGTTCCAAACAAAGGAACAAGATAAATCTCCAGAAATGGACCAAATGAAACATAATTATATGATTTACCTTACAGGGAGGTAAAAATAATTATCATAAAGATCCTCGTTAGGGTCAAGAGAATAATGGATGCAAAAAGAACTTAGGGGCCTCCCTCGTGGTGCAGGGGGTTAGATGCAACCTATGAAGCTATCCACAGCTGCTGCAGCACGAGTTCAATCCACGGCCAGGGAGGTGACCCATATGGCGCACAGCAGACCTTTCCTGTCTCACCCGCTGCTCCCCTCAGCAGTATATTTCAGCCAATCTGCCTGTTCTGTTCCCCACTCTGTCTCTGGTGAATCCTCTCACCACACCCCCACACCTCTGGCCTGTACCCCAGTTCTTGTATGCATAAAATAAATAAATCTTAAAAAATGGACTTAACATAATGAATGACAAGTGTGTTTAAAAAAATTCTCAAAGTCACAAATCACCAGGGAAATGAAAGTCAAAATAATAAACAATATTATACCTGTCAAGATGATCATCATTAAAAAAATAAAGGACAAATGATAGCTAAGATGGAGAAAACTGAAACACTTGCACATGGCTGGTAGGAATGAAAAAAAAATGGTGTCTCTGCTATAAAACAATTTAGATGTTCCTCACAAAGTTTAAACAAAATGTACGCTATGACCCTGAAATCCCACCTTTGGCTCTCTATCCAAAAGACTTCAAATCAGGATCTTGAAGGGATATGAGCACTCCTATCTCCACTACTGCCCTGTTCACAATAACCAAGATGTGAAAACAATCTAACTGCCCAATAAGAGACGGATAGAGAAACATGGCCTCTACCTACAACACAATATCATACAGCCTTCAACAATGAAAGGAATTCTTCCATAGATGACAAAGATGACCTTTCAGGACATTATGCAAAATAATGAAATCATTCACAGAAAGACAAATACTGTATGATTTACTTATTTATAATATTTTTTTTAAGATTTATTTATTTATACAAGCACCGGGTACAGTCAGAAGCGCGGGAGGGTGAGAGAATTCACCAGAGCCAGAGCGGGGAGCAGAGCAGGCAGAAGGACCGAAGTACATTGCTGGGGGTTGCAGCGGGCGGCAGGAGAGGTCTGCGCACCATGTGGGACCCTCCTCCAGTGGCCAGGGAGCAGCCGGGGATCGAACTGGCACGGCAGAGGCCGCGGGCAGCTTCGCAGCCCAGCGCTCAACTGCTGCGCCACCGGGGAGGCCCCTGTATGATTTACTTATATGAGGTTTCTAAATAAAATTAATAAAATCAAACAGAGAAATTCTGGTTGCCAGGAACTGAGGAAAAGTAGAAATGGAAAGTTACTAATAAATAGGCAAACAGTACCAGTCAAGTAAGATGAAAAAATTAAAGATCTATTTATGGCATTTAATCTACAGTTAGTAAAATTGCACTCTTGAAATTTTGTTACGAGAGTAAACCTCGTGTTAAGTGCTTTCTTCAATAAAATAAAACAATTTTTAAAGAAAAACAAGTATTTTTTAACTATTTTATTTCTTTATAATAATCAGTGGCTGGGTACATGTAGATTTGTCAACATACAAAATTGTGAATTATAAGGATTACCTGAATTATATGAATGTAGGTTTTTAAAGAACTCTAATATATTCTATGTCTAGTAAACACCTTTTTCAATGAATACTTTTCTAAATAACCTTCACCAAGGTAAGAGGTATACTGAAGATTTAGTAGTCACCATTAGAAGTTTCAATTGCTTCTAGATTCCAATTAACTTTAATTTACATTTTAAAAAAGAATTATTGCTCTGTGCTAATGTTTTTTCCTAAGTTTAAATTAATCAAAATGAAGCACACATAGTTATTTTACAACTGTGACATATATTTCATTCCCTACTATCATTGTGGAAACTGTTTAAAAAATAATTCTCAACAAATGAAATTGAAAATTAATTGACTTACAATTATCTGACATTTTTGAAGAGAAATAATCCAAAAGACCTAAAATACTTGTTTCCCTTAATTCTGGCTGTACTTCTGATTTGTCCATGAGAAATATATTTTTCTGTGAACTTTTACAGTCACAGAAACCAATTAAAGCAGTTTTTCGTAAATTAGATGTGGCTGCATACAAGCAGGTTTCTGCTAGAATTGTTGTATATATGTAGACTATATTCCACACCCAGGAAAAGTCATCTGCCTTGCAACTTTCTCCCTAAAATGAAAAAAATAGCTATTAGATAAAGTATGTTAAAACATATTTAAGAACAATATGATAATAATAAGAAATATCTCTGAATATTGTAGTTATAAGAGCATAATAAAACTATTATTTCCAAAAAGGACTCATAAAAGTAGATTTTCCATGAATAGAGTACATCAACTTAGTTCAAAGAAAAAAATATCAAATAGCTAAAAAAGAGTATACTAAGAAAAAAAAATTTTAGTCTCATTAGTAATTCAATAAAATGCAAATTAATCTGATGAGATACTACTTCATATAACATATTGAAAAATATTTTTGATATAAAGCTCAATTCTAATGTGTGTCACTTTTATTCTTTTTTCTTAGGAAAACAAAAAATATATATCTTCTGGAGAAGAATTTGACATCTATCCTAAGAACTTTAAATGAAAATTCAGTTTCTCACTCAATAATTTAAATTTATGACATTTCTAAAGAAATAGTAATAGAGGTAAATATTTTATGTATAAGAATATTAGTTCAACATTATTTTTAAGTAATTTTAAAATAATTAGAAACGGGCCTTCCCGGTGGCGCAGTGGTTGAGCACTAGGTTGCGAAACTGCCCGCAGCCTCTGCAGCGCCGGTTTGATCCCCGGCCACCAGGCGAGGGTCCAACGTGGCGCGCAGACCTCTCCTGCTACCCGCTGCTACCCTCAGCAGTGTACTTCGTCACTCTATCTGTTCTCTCCACTCTGGCTCTAGTGAATTCTCTCACCCTCCTGCGCCTCTGACTGTATCCAATGCTTGCATAAATAAATAAATCTTAAAAATAAAAAAATAAAATAAAATAAAATAATTAGAAACACTGTTCAAGGGAATTGGTTAAATTTTTTCAACCCCACTAAAATGTAAATTTTAATAATATTAGAACAATCAGCAATGCTTTATATGATCTATTTTAAAATTTTAAGAGTTAACTAGACCATATATAAAAACATTATCTCAAGTTTGTTAAAAAAATTAAAGTATGCATTTGTGTGTACATAAGTATGCATAAAATCTATCTATCCTAGGTAAATATTAAATGTGCATATACTTTTATATTTAATTAAATGTATCCTTAAAATTCAGGCTCATTGTAAGCTCTATTATGATATATAATTTAAATAGTGGCAAAAATATATTTTTTTTTCTGTTTAGGTTATTTTGCTCACCAAAATTACCAATATTCTTACCTGATTCTGAGCAGACAAAATATTGGAAAGAAAATCTCTCATTAAATCCATTAAAGCTTTCAAGCAGGCCATGCTTAATTTGGCAGCTTCCCCAAGGACCAACAAAGCCAGTGCTGAGTCCAGCCTGGAAATTTTATGAATAAAACAATACTTTAATGTTAAATAATAACAAGCAATTTTTAATGAAAAACCATAGCCCAGAGGAAATGAGTATCTTGTGTTACCAGTGCATTTACTTTCTGTAAAGTACAGTAAATCCTCCCTATGTCCTCAATAATTTCTTAGAAACTGCAACTATTAAGCAAAATGATATAAAATGAAACCAGATCTTTTACTAGTCTTTCATTCTACATTGACTGAAATTTCTCTTTTTTCATCACATTAATTGATGTTGGAAAAAGCGGCATTATATGAGGACCTGTTAATACTACTTGACACCGATTATGATAAATGTCTACAGGAAAGAGTCATATTTTGACAAGATGAGTTCAGGGTGTTCTGACAAAACTCTGAGGGTAATAATGCTATTACACAAATGAGTCTATTTGTACATAGATACTATATAACAAAACATCAAGAGCTCTGGTTCTAGACTATCCCCAAAATCTCACATTAGGTTTTGTTTTTTTAATGTTTTGAAACTGACTGAAAGGGGTGAATTTCAAGAGATAATTTATTCACAAAATAAAGGCCAAATAAAAAATTGTCTTCCTAAATACTCCAAACACAGCTTTGTTTTGCAAAAAGTACAAATTTTCAAAAATTCCGTGTGGCAAAACTTTGTCACATTGAATAGAACACTAGCAAGGTTTATTTTTCAAAACATTATATATGACTGGGAAATCACATAAGAACTTATTCACCATAAATGTACATACATACTGATAGTATTCAGAAATTATACATCCATTGCTATTTTTACCCAATTGAGTAAGATAGTTTAAAAGGGAATTGATAAGAATGCAAATACAAAAATGCCTTTGCCTACAGTTCCATATTGTTTTGATTTATAGGTAATTAATAACATTAGTATATTTGTATTTCATAATTGTTATATGCCAGGACAGTCAAGTTCAGCAATCTAAAAAGGAACTATTCTAATCATGAGCAAGAAGATAATTTTTTATATTTGAATAGAGTTTTATAGACCTCAATGTGCTTTCACATAATTACCTCATTTGATTTAAACCATAATTTTTGATACATTCATGACCTATTATAAATCTTTAAAAATATTATAAAATTGAGGAAAAATAGATCTAGTGTATTTGCCCAACTTCATGTTTTCAGTTAGGTTATCTATAACTGAAGTCTTCTCCCACCTACTGATACTTCAATATTTGAAATTTTGTTTTTCATTATTTCAGTAAATCATTATTTAACTTTAGTATGGCAATCCTGCCTAGTGCTACTAATATCATTTGTTTTCCTTCAGAACTAAACTTCAATTTTTTTCAAACAGCAAAATGCTCATTTAAGCAAATGCATTTATCCAAAGTCATGTATATGTATACAAAAAAGTGTGACTTTTATTGTCTATTAATTATACCTTAACAAGTTGACATTAAAAAATGTCTTCCCAAATATTTTTGAGGCTTGGAACAGCCATAATTGTAGATTTGTTCAAAAAGATATATTGTGTAAACTGCAATATGCATCCAGAAAAACTATTATTTTCCTGATTAAGAAAAAATAAATTAAGATAACAGGTACTCTTTTCTCCTTTGCTCATTTCTTTCTTCCTTGGACTGCAACTATGCTACCAGAAGGTAGAGCAGCCATCTTGCAACAATGAAGATGAAAGCCACATATAAAGAAAGGAAGAAAAGTAAACTAAAAGGAGATTGGATATTGAGAGTTCCTTTAAGTATGAGCATCAGTGGAGTTCTGCTTGTAATGTATAATAAATAAAGCATATTTGGTGATAGAATTATAGTCATGTTGCTACTATATGCAGAAGAAATGAATCCTTACTTATAAACTTTATATGGTAAGCATGATCTTTAGAGTTAGAAAAAAAATAGAGGTAAGTGTGTAATTATGACACTAATCAGCTACATAACATAGGGTAATTTATGTACCCTACTTCAGTCTAATCTATAAAGTAAATATAGCAAAACCTACTTTACAGAGATTATGTGGGGTTTAAATGAAATAGTCTGGATAAAATTACTAAGTTCAAGATGACAGAACTGAATTGAATTACAAATATACATTCCTTTATGGTGTTGAACTTAATGTAGTATATACAGATGTTGATTTATATGCTATTCACCTGAAATCTATATAATATTTTAAATGAATGCTACCTCAAAAAAATTTAGGTACTATTCTTTCAGAATCAAAAGATGTGAGTTTGGCAACTTTCTTCTTTATGAAAACCTACAGTGACTGAAGAAAGGAACAGATATCCTCAAAATGAACAATGAGGGAGAGACTCCCCAGAATACTCATTACCTAGACCGCACAGTATAGTTAATGGAAAGTTCACAAAACTCCTGCCCACCCAAATATATCAAAAGCATCAGCTTTTCATTCTTCTGTTCTCTTGTAAGTCTGGAAAATTGTAACTAATTTAGGACACTCTTGTTGAAGTATGGATTGAAAAATTCATCAGTGTCATCTACCCATGGTTGAAAAATGCTTCACCAGAAATGCACTATTTTTAATCAAAGCTGTTCATGGAAAAACAGTCTATAAGTGAAAATGTCTGTCAAAATAGAATAGAAAAATCAATACACATAAATTGCAATTTGTTAAAAATCAGAATTGAAAATCAATGCACCCAGAAAGAATTCAAAGTGGATTAAATTGGAAATTTTATTACAACACTAATTTCTTTATGAACTCATTATAGTACACCAAGTCTCAATCATCAGTACATTGACTTGATTTTGCAGAGCCATGAAAGTAATTTATACATATCATAAAATTTTTCCTAATTTTATAAATAAAGAAACTAAAGCAGAGGTTTTCTAGTTTGTCTAGAATAACATCATTAGTTGATATTTTCACTTTTTCAATTTTTTTCTAACTTTTAAAATTAATGTGAATCAGTGAAAATATCTAAATAATGTCATGTTCTGAACTAAGTATCAGTTAGCCTAACACCAATCAACTAAAATATAATAATCAGTGTCAAGACCTCCCTAGTGGCGCAAGGAAGGGGTTAAGATGCAACCTATGAAGCTATCAGCAGCCACTGTAGCATGAGTTCAATCCCCGACCTGGGAACTACCCACATGGCACAGCAGGCCTCTCCTGACTGCCCACTAAAATACCCTCAATGGTGTATTTCAGTCAATCTGCCTGTTGTGTTCCCCACTCTGTCTCTGGCGAATCCTCTCATGTCCCGCCCCCGCACCCACACCTCTGGCCTGTAAGCAGCTCTTATATGCATAAGTAAATAAATCTTTAAAATAAAACCAGAACTTCATAAAAAGCTATGCACTATTAATCTATAGTCCATCTACCTACCTCACACAATCACATGAAAAACTTAAGAATATGTATTCAAAACTGTTTTCGTAGGTTCTCCTTATTCTTCTATATCTCCTTATTCTTCTATATTTGTTTCATCAATAACCAAATTATTATTTTATAAATTGGAATTTAAGCCATTTCCAAGTTACAACACTTATAGGATTACTTCTAACTTTCAAACAATATTTCAGAAAACACAATGTCAAAACGCCACACAGATCTGAAGATTAAAAAAGATAGAGAGGTTACTGAAGACAGCAATATACAGGGACTTTCCACAAATCCTAAAATTCAAAGAGTTGGATTAAGTAGAGAAACAGAGTACCTACAAGGCCACTTCGTGAAACAGAGCAGGCTTATTTCCTCAAAGAAAGTCAAAAGAAAAATTTTGGAGAAGGGTACGACCATGGCAGAGTGAAGATGCTGGGCTCACCTCCTCTACCCCCTCACACTTAGACTGCAACAGAACAAAGCCAATAACTCCTGAAAGAAATAAAAAAGATTATTATAGCAAATGACAGGAGTAAAATCTGGAGGGGAATCCCAGAAGGCAATGGAGCAGACTAAGCAGTGACCTGCTCGGGGTGGGTGAGGTGAGCAGAGTGGCACTGAACATTAACCCTCAGAGACCTCTGCAAGCCCCAGAACAGAACTGAAAGCAGACCTGCCCCAGAAGGTCTCTGTAGACCACAATGAGTTCCAAAGTGGGTCCTGGAAACAGCCTCACTGGATGAACTCTCAATAGACTTCAGTAAATCCCAGTAAAGATCTGGAAGCACACTTGCCACAATAGGTCTCAGCATACCTTGGTGAACTCCAAGGTAGAATCTAGAAGAAACCTCACCTGGCAGTAGCCCTCAACAGAATTTAGCAAGACCATTAATAGTTAGGGTCCGTCATACTCAGCAAGCCCCAGAGAGCCCTAGGAGCAATCCAGACTCACTAGGTCCTGGCAATCAGTGGAGCAAGGCCTGCCAAGGGGACAGGCCCTATCAGAAAGAACTGCAAAGCCTGGTTCCAATAAGCTACAACTGTTGGAGGAGTGAAACAGGTCACTGCTCCATCAGATAGTCTCTTGGATAAAGTGGAATTGGTTATCCCTTGGTCAGTAGAGAAAAGTGCAAACCCAAACAGAGTTGACACTGAGGAGATTCATGCTACAGGGAACAGAAGGTGGGTGAAGAAAGGAATCTAGGAGTTGTGGTGTAGAGTAGGGGATGCCAGTGACAGGGAAGTCAGCTCATTCAGAGGACCTAACTCAAATAACTGAACAACAACAAAACAAAGATCTTACCAAAAAGTGGGCAGAAGAGCTAAACAGACACTTGTCCAAAGAAGAAATACAAGTGACCTACAGGTACATGAAAAAATGTTCAACATCAAGCCTCCCTGATGGCCTAAGGGTCAAGTCTCCGTGTTTTCACTACTATGGCCTGAGTTTGATACCTGGCCAGGGAGCTAACCCACATGTTACAGTAGACCTCTCCTGTCTCCCCCGCTGCTACCCTTAAAAATGTATTTCAGTAAATCTTTTTTTAAATATTTTATTTTATATAATTCTTACATCATTTTTCATCTTTGTACAATGTATGCATTTTCATTTTGGTTATAGACCCCATACAATTGTATCCCCCCTTATTT